CAACCCCTTGGTGTCCCTCAGCCCGCAGGCCTTCGGGGAGGGCGGCAGCCCGCTGGAGGAGCTGGCCCTGCGCGGGGCCCTGCGTGACCACGGCGTCCTCCTCAGCCTGGCCGCCATGCTGCAGTCCGGCACCCTGCGCAACCTCAGCCGCCTGGAGCTGGCCGACAACGGGCTGCTGCTGCTGCCCGCCGGCATGTTCACTGCCCTGCCCGCCCTGCGGCAGCTGGACCTCAGCAACAACTCCCTGGTGGGCCTGCGAAATGTCTCCTTCCAGGGCTTGGGCCAGCTGCAGAGCCTGGACCTCAGCGACAACTCCCTGGGCATGCTGAGGAACAGCACCCTGGCCCAGTTCCGCAGCCTGCCCGCCCTCCGGCACATCAGCCTGGGCCGCAACACCTGGGTCTGCGACTGCGCCATCGAGGACCTGGTGGCCTGGCTCAAGGAGAGCGACCAGGTGGAGGGCAAAGAAGCCCTGACCTGTGCCTACCCCGACAAGATGCTGGGCAAAGCCCTGCTGAAGATCAACAGCTCGGACCTGAACTGCTCCATGCCTGTAGACCTGCCTTCCCAGCTACAGACTTCGTACGTCTTCCTAGGGATAGTCTTGGCTCTCATCGGGGCCATTTTCCTCCTGGTTTTGTACTTGAACCGAAAAGGAATCAAAAAGTGGATGCACAACATCAGAGATGCCTGTAGGGATCACATGGAGGGCTACCACTACAGATATGAGATCAATGCAGACCCCAGGTTAACAAACCTCAGCTCCAACTCGGATGTCTGATGAAGCGCCACGGACGTGGGGCAGCGCACAGTAGCTATGCATGAAAAGTAGACTTACGCTTTACCCTTGTGCTTGCTTCCCTCTCCCCAGAGAAATCTCGGACGTGCTTGTAACATGAGGGGCATGTGCCTCCCCCTGACGTCAAGTTCAATTTTGTTTTGAGACGCCGGGCAGCTGCGCATGGCGTTGGCCTGTATGTAGGAAACAAGCTGCTATTTCTTTTCCTCCTTACTTGTCTGTACTTGTGGGAAATTTTTCTCAAGATCTCAAAAGAAAAAAAGGATTCTCTCTGGTGCTCCAATGCCACCAGAGTTTATAAAAAAACTTACCGAGGCAGACACCACTCAACAAAAGCTGCCTCAACTTTTTGGGAAAAAAATGTTATGTTCCTCTGACCGTTTTGATCTTGTATATCCGAATTGTGCTGACAATGATTCCATTTCATAGACTAGCTTAGGATTTTTAAAAAACAAAGAAACTCCTTTTAACAACTCCTCTGTTACAAAGAAGGAAATCGAATAGTGGGCATGCACAAATACTTTATAGTTTTACACATTAGGAAACTTACAATCTCAGTAAGTCCCTTACTATTTTGTAAAGTTATTTTTTGATTGCAGTTTACGTGAAAAGAGGGTTTTTTATACAAACTGCATCTAAACTCCATCTGAACTGTTAAATTCAATGAACAATCTTACAAGAACTGTTGTTTGCTCTTCAATGAGAAATGTATGGACATCTAAGAATGTCGATAGCATTATAGTCTCTGAAGTAATAGCCCTGCAGTAGTAGTCTGAATAAAATTTTACACAAATGTGTAGCTTAGAGACAAATATGTGACAATTTTGTGAAATATGCTAGGAGAATTACACCGATCAATGGTGGGGCAGTTTCACTTGGCACAAAACCCCCAGTCTGCTCTCTCAAAACAACTGCAGACCATCGAGACAGATGCTAGGGTCTACCTTGCTGGGAAGGTATAAGTTGATAGAATTTCTGTAAGGTCTTTACCAAATTAAAAAAAAAATAAAATCATTCAAATTAATTTGTGGAGTTTGTAGGCTAAAGAAAATTTTACCTGAATGGAATTGTTCATTATAAAAAAAAAAAAAAAAAAAAAAAGCATACTATCATTCCTGAACTAAATTAAATGCAGCTCAGTTGTGTAGTCGGTGAGCTTCAGGCTTGTAAATCAATGCAGCACTTACTAATTTAAGTACTTACTGTTTCATTTTAAGCTCTCCGTACTCTTGAAGTTCTATAGTGACCTACATCGAGTAACTTGATGAAACTTTACGTTTATCTTAAAGATTATAACAGGTGCATTTCAGTGTTTAACAGTGCATTGTGTGTTACTCATGCTTATTACTTGCTTGGGAATGCATTTTCTTGTAAATAGATAAAGCATGCAAAGAAAACCTTCAAAAATGCATCATTTAATATGCAACTCTGATGACACATGAAAAGATTAGCAAGAACCTTCCAATGGCCACCAATAATTAATGCACTTTTTCTAATCCATTTATAGGTTCTTAATGAAAAAAGTACACCATCTGTAAAAGTGTGATGTGAGTTGGTATCTATCAGTATATCTGTGGAGCTTTTCCCATGGTCACTGTTACTTGAAGCTCTTGAGCATCTCTAAAAATTTTATGAATTACTGGTTAATTCACTTTGCTTTCGAAAGTTGCAGTTTTCTCCTAGATACACAACTTTGGTAAGAGGTCATAAGTATAAAATATTCCTTAAAGTATCAGAAGAAATATAATCTATTTTGGGTACCCGTGTTATTCAAAGGAATTTTTCTCTCCTCACAACTTAAGACAAAGCAAGTAGCACAAGTCAGTTCAGACTAATTTTCTATTGCTTTAAATTGGCGTTATTTAATACCAGTGGGGTTTTTTTTAAATGTAGTTTTGTACATTTGCCCTCAAAAAAACCCCAAAACTATAATTCATGTTTTGATAAATCGGTGTATTTTACAATTAATGTAAGTTAAGTGATAGCCTATTTCTCCTGCTGTAATTTAAATGTATGAGCAATATCTGGTTAACAGCATATGAATTAAGTTTGTGGATTCTTTAAAAGCAGACTGCTGCTCTGAAAGTTAGCTGCCCATATTTTAAGAATAGTGTAAAAACCCCAGTGTGAATAACTATTACTGTGCAACTATGCAAACTGTTCATACTTGGTATACACAAGATAGTTTATGTAAGAAGCTAGAATTTACAATAGCTATGCAGTGTGCTTTGTTGTATTGGTCATTTTGGAGATTATCAGCTTAAACTTATTTGTACAGTGCCAAGAGGAGTAGGGCGTCATCCTTGCTTAAGATGCTGCTGTAATATAGTAGATAAAATATGCAAAAATCAAGCCATTTCTTGGGCAATTTCTTGGGTTTCGTTAACAGATACTTTAAAGCAACTACCGTAAAATCAATTATCTGTAATGTGTTAATATAACAGCCATGAATTGATAGAGCTGTGTAAGGGTAGGCAACGACTTTATTGGCTGTCTCTCACCAATGGACTGAGTATTTGTATAGTGAGCACGTGTAACTGTTGTATTACAGCTATTATTCTAATTATTATTATTATTGTATCATAGAAAATCATTGTAATAGAATTTTATTAGAGACCTGGTGACAGCTACTTTAAAATAATTTTTGCCATTTGCTTACATGTGTATTTATTAGGATGTTGCAGTTAGCACGTGTCAGTGTTGCGTTGGATAATGTTCTCCTACAGCGTTTGACCAACAGTGAATGCCTCAGTGTTTTGTACAATGCACTTGATCTTAAATCCCCCTCCATAAACAGTGCTTGAAATTTGTTTCCCTTTCCTATTGGAAAATAGTTAGTGGTATTCAGAAGACGTTTAAAAAGTAGCTCCCAAAGTGCTTCAGAACTGTGTTAAAAAGTATACATTTGAAATAACATTAGTTTAAGGGTTCATCTGAAGCACATTTTATAATCTTACTCTGCTTTGACACCTGGAATTTCAATTGATTACCATTTCTAGAGCAGCTTAATTAGCAAGGCTGTTTTATTCATTAATTCTTCAATAAAACACGTGCAGTACTAAATGCCTCTAAAATGTGTTTTGTATACATAAACCCCCGAAGTTCTGCGTGACACGGTGGTCACTGATATTTCATAGAAAACATGTAGACTAAAGTGGTGGGTGAATCTTCAGGGAAGGCTGTGCAGCTAAGAAGCAGAAAGGATGGTTTGCCCAAGGTTAACTGGTTCCTTAAAACTAGTTTGAGTTGTAATAAGCTTAAAATTGCCTTAGGAGAATAGCACAAGGAATTGACATGGTTTTAATATATTTTCCTAAAGTACTTTGTATAAGTGCTGTTGCCAGGCAAGAAACAGAAAATTCCCCAAATCTTTCTTTATCCCAGATAGCTTTATATTAGATCATCTCACTTTTTTTTTTATTATTATTCTCAGCAAGCCATAATATTACCAACAATTTTGACATCCAAAAAGTGATTTGAAGTTTTGCAGAACTGCTTTTAAAATCTTTTCATTCAGGGTAATGTACCTTTTAAGCACTGGTGACAATCCCCAGTGACAAGCCAGCTAGTGAAGCAGTCTATTCAGACCTGTATTCGGTTGTTGACTGAGATGTTGTTGAAGACAGGCATGGCAAAATATTCAAAATGTGACTGCGCTAGGATCCCAACTCTCATTATTCTACCAGCATTTTCCCTGTGGTATACGCTGTTCTTTATACATCTGCATAATTTCTTCGCCTCATTTTTTCAAGAAATCCATTAAAGGGAGAATCGTGAATCTGCACAGGTCGAGAAATCAGTCCGACTGCACGTATATTTTGAGGTTCAGCATCTTCGTTTCCCTTTAAGCCTTAACGTGAAAAAGAGCCTTTGTCAAAGTGGGCAGAACGAAAATTTGGTGTGCGCTTTTTCTTTCTCTTTAGCAGCTGAGTGTTCAGGAAGAACCATTTCATTCTCAGCATATGATGAAGGAAAATAGCATTTGTTAAGAAAACCATTTCAGTTTCAAGCTTCCAAATGACATCGATATACTCTGAGAGAAGGTTGAAGGGAGAAGCTTATAGAGGAAATGGAGATAGCCCTTTGTAATGGGTTAGCACTGGAAATCACAACACTAGCAATAGGAACAATTGTGGATTGATTCTGTGTGTTATGTTCTGGTCATGGTTTATGGATACAACTCTAATTTCTTCCTGTTGCTATAAACAGAAACATTTTGCTGACAAGTGGAGTCACGTCCCATAATATTTGTAATGCAGGTGTTTCCACTGTAAGATTTTTGTGGGGTATAATAGAAGATTGAATTTAATTCAGTGCCTGCTGATTTAATAATGACTAGATCAGACCCATAACTTAATGCTTCTTTTTTTGCAAACGTGCTGCTTTACTAGTTACAAAGACCTTGGCTTGAAATCAGACAATGAAAGCCCACCAAAGAAGAGAGAAAGCAGTCCATTTGGGGAGTGTAACATTTATTAGATAATTCACACATGCTTAAAAAATAGATATAAACCATGTGGGAGCAGAGGATCCTTTGCTAACAGAGAAACAAGTGTACTCTGCAACCGTCCCGAGTCAATCCAGCAGTAGCAGAAAAGTGAGTGGTGCTTTGTACCCATGCAGTAAACCCAACAGCACTCCTCTCCCACCTTGGAAAAAAAAAAAACAAACAACCAAACCACCAAGCTTTTAGAAGTAAGAATACAGGTTTGCAGTATAATTTATGTCCTTAAGAAGGGCTTTTGCTTTCTCAGTGGTGTTACAATTTACGTGTTGTCACATCCTTGGAAAACCTTGCCATGCCTGAAGTCATCTGTCGCGTAGGCAAAGCTTGAAATCAGGCCTTGCATTCCCAATGTCAGCCTAAATAGAAAAAGGGAACTATTAAGAAAATTAAAATGGTACTTTAGACAGTGTATTCATATTGCAGTTAATAACTTAATATTTGCCATTATTTATATTTTTCAAAGTATTCACTAAAT